TAATCAGCGGTAAATCTCCATCACCTGCGTGCTTTCACATTGAGCAGCATTAACTACACAGAGCCGTTGTTCACAGACGAGCTGCGCCAAACCACGTTCATATTCGCGCGATTTTTAGCGCAGCTCCTCAGTGAACAACGGCTCTGTGTAGTTAATGCTGCTCAATGTGAAAGCCCGCAGGTGATGGAGATTTACCGCTGATTACAGAACCGGCTTTCTGACAAGATGCGCGTTAAATATCGCATGCGATTAATCGTGCAGCCCTAATCTCAAAATAGACAGCATAATAAAATAATCTAATTTCCTCTCAACTGTTTGTTTGTTTGTTTGTTTCTGTACACCCCCATTGTCTTATTTTAGACATATATGCCTTGTAACCTGATGCAGGAGCTTCTGTCACTCACACCAACATGATTTCATTAAAGCATCTCAAATAATACACCAAATTCAAATGACCATGTCAAACATTTGAGGGATGGGTGCTAATTCAATTCGGTTATACCCGAGCCTTGACTTCATTTCCCAAAATGTCTTGTTTTCCCCTCTCGCACACAGCAGCAGCAGCACTTATTGATTGGATTCAGTCAATAAAGGCTAGTTTTCTCTATTCTGATCCTAATGCACTTAGGGAGAAGGTCCCTGCCTGCATGAATGCTGCCAGGTTATAACAGAGCTGAATGCAGAGCACATAAATTATTCAGGAGCCATGCTTTTGCCCAGGCCTCCATTAATGATGACACCCAACCCCGTGGAGCCAGACACTGTCCCGTGGGATGTTATGCTTGACACTGCTGCTGTGGGGGTGATATAGAACCCCAAGCCTGCTATAGCTTTCCTTCATGAATCAACACAAAGAAAGTACATTTCTAATAAACAATATTGCAATCACAAACAATGTATCTTGTCAGGATGTTTTTTTTTTACATTTTCCTAAATGTAAAAATAGTTTTACAGATTTTTATTTTCAAGCTTATTCTATAAAATCTCCTCATTAATTGTGATTTGTCCTGGCTCTACTTTTTTGAACCTGTGTAAGATAATTTATGATTGTCTTGACTTTCTCTCTTTCCAAACATATTTTGGTAACAAATTATTTGCTTTATACTCATCTAAACAATAATATTTTACAAGATCATTAAATTTGATTCGTCATGATACCTTCTACTGATGATTTGTAGCACTCTTATCATTCTATACTGTTGCACAAAATATTATATAAGACACAAAGAGCACTGTCATTCAACAGATCTTGCAAGATAGTCAAATGGTAGTGTAAACAGTTAACAGCAGCAGAGCTGAATGAATTGTATCTGTCAGTCTGCTTAGAGTTCTGGGAAGTCAGCTGAAAGTATTCTTCTTGGACATGGAAAATCAACATAGAAAAGACTAATATTTTGCCAGGAGCTTTTGCCACTGAATCAGAGGGCCCCTGGATCGCCAGGCAGATATTAAGAGCTCAGAACCTCCAAATTATTGGCTTGAGCAGTGATCCATGTTCTTGTTCTTTATAATCACCGGGAAACCCTGGAAAACCTTTTGAGTTGTTTAATTTTATGTGCATCCCGCATGGAGTTTATCCCAGTGGTTTATTAAAAATGTAACAAATTATGTTGAATGCTTCAGTATCATTGTCTTTCATACAGTCTAAATGAGCAAAATTGTAACCTGCAGAGCAAATACCAGAAATGCCTGTTGAAACTTAAGCAGCCATGCTGTACACAATGTAGCCTTGCTGATTTCATTTATACAAAGACATGATTTTCTGTAGTGGTTGGTCTACAGCAGTGGTTCTCAACCCGCGGCCCGTCACGAATTCAAATGCGGCCCACCATGCTGAACACAATTGAAAAATTAACTTTCAGTTTTACAATTCATTTTAGTTTTTACATTAATTAAAAAATGTACTAAACAAATATAAGCTATAATGTTTTTTTTATGTAAAATAATTTTGTTTTTCATATATTATTTTCAGACATGAGCAGACCTGTACTCACGTAGGCTAATTAACGTTGCATTTAACGAACACTTACAAGCGCGCACTTTGGCTGTTGAATTCAATTCAAAATTGAGCATCAGAATAGACACATTTGTTATTAAGGGAGAACCAACGAAATGTGGAAAATGCCAGCGAAGGAACGCATACAAACAAGAGTAGACGCAGCAGTGAAGGTAGGAGAGTGCTGGACTTTCGGCATCAACTTTCGGCTTGCCCCGCCACTCACTTGAAGATGTTCAGGCTAGAGCCTACACGGGCCTCAAATATATGACGTTCAGGCCCTAGCTCGGCCCTTGTCCGACAGCTTATCAGAATTACCGGCCCGTCAGAGGAGGCGAGTCAGGATCGACAACTTCATCCTTGCGACACCGACTCAGAAAACACTAGTTTATTAGTAAATAATTCAAATATCTCCTTACTATTTCCTCCCTGACACATTCATGGCAATTACTT